AACACTAAAAATAAAATGAATAGACGCACAATATAAACCTAAACCTTCCCCGGCAACAGCGCCAATTTGTTGTAAATATTTCTAACCGGAGTAGAATCGAAAGATTCAACACCGGGTCGTACTCAAGGAAGGTTAGCCGGAATAAACTGCACGACTATTCAAACACACAAAAAGAAAGGAACAAAATCTAACACTCTAACTCAAATTGTTGGTTTTTTTTAATTATCAACTACGAATTCTCAAATAAATAAATGAAAACAAACGAACTATCAAATCCAAACGAGATTGAAATAAGGTTGGGGAAGTAGAGGAATCGGAGATACTCGCATATGGTTCTCAATAACTATTAATTGCTTATCCACTCAGTTAAGAGATTTAATAACTTACTTGCTTAGAAATTTGTTCTCAATAACTGTCCGTAACAAGAAAACAAACACAAGCAATTCGTTATCTGAACAATCAACACATAGGCAATACTTTGACGAACAAGCCTATTCTAAACGAGCCACGTTCAACCAATTTTTCCCCTTTCGGTTCTACAAATTGATTAATTAGACTAGAATGGTGATCAAGCATCTAACCCTAGATTAAGAACAACACAAATAGATTGAATGGCAAGCAAACATACATGAATCACGAACGAACCAATACGAATATCTCCTATCCCCAACGAAAGATTTAGCTACTCATAGTAATTTGAACATAAGAACTCACAACTATCCAAGCACAAAACACCATAATTAAACGAGAAAAGATGCTTACGATTGATAAGAAAACCAATGTTGAAAACGAGAGCAGTCCAAATCCGAAAGCTAAATCCAAAAATGAAATCTTGAGATTATTCACCTTCAAGATTACATCTAAAACCAAGAGAAGAAAATTCAAAAGAAAAGATGCGTTTTCTCCAGAGAGCGTTCAAAAAGTAACAGAGTACAGAATGAATCCTAACCTTATCGCCCTCACATAAAATAGTCTGATCTGGTTTAAAATAACGCACCGTGCCGCGAAGAGCGATCACGGCGCGACGAGATACTGCTTCGCGGCGCGGCAGGGGTGGCA